CCCCAAAACCCCAAAACCCCTTTATAAGTTGATTTAGATAAATTGAGAATTATGATATTTAAAAATAAAAAATTTAATTTAATGAGTAGATAATTACCAGAAACTTGCACCATTACAAAAAATAAGTTGATTAGATAAACTACACTGGATCCTAAATCCTCTTAAAAAGATAGTCCTAATTAATGCATTAAAATTTTTGAAAACAAAAAGGCTGCGTTTCTTTTAATAGGCAAAGAAATGAGTAGGAAAAGAGTTGAAATCCTTGAATAATAGTTTAGAGACAATGGCGGAAAAATTTTAAACACTAATTTATGTATGTAAGTGAATTTAATCTAATTCATTAATATTAACTACAGTGACATCTTAGACAGCTATGCTGGTATTATCAAAGCTTGATTTTATTTTCACTTCAAAGAAGGAAAAGTGTGGTTTGCTTTTGACATTTGAAACATTAGTGAAATACTTGAATTTGACTCAAGAAGATCTAAAGAATGATGAAATACTATAAGGAATCGTTAAAATATTATCGTAAATAAAGATATTAACTCCAGATTATCTCTCAGAATGTCTTAGACAGAGGATATTTATTGAAGATTTTGAAAAATTTGAAATTAAGTTAGATCTTCCAAAGATTTAAACTCAGATTAAGAGATTTAACAGTGGAGTTTCCGATCAGAAACAATTAGAGGAGGAAAAGTTAGATTAAGTAGTGAACCTCGAGGATATCATAGACGATATTTATCGGATGAAGTTTACGACTAAAGAGGGTGGTGGAAACTCTTCAAAAAAGAGATCTCTAAAAGATGCTCTTGGAAATGAATCAAAGACTAGATTGTCAACAGCTGATGATGGAGATTTATCATCCCACAGATCATTTAGATCTAAGTTTTACAAAGATGGGGAAGAGTGCTATAGTGAAGATTCCTATATGTTTTAGTGGAAACCTGATTATATTGCTAATAAGGAGGAATATTGGGATAAAAAGAAAGATAAATTTGCATGTTCCAGAGGATCTACTCTAAAAGAAGATCAGATCATTGAGGATGGGATTATAAAATAAAAAACTCTTGAGGAAGATTCTAAAAATAAGTAAAAACCTTTAAATGATGACATTATTAAGTAAATTGAGATGCTGTAAAAATACTATGATACTTAAGGAGATAAAGGAAGAGGACACGGCTATAGAAGAGCACTTACATTTTTAAGAGCTATCAAAGAACCTATTTATTCAGTCGATTAATTGAAAGAAGTTCCTTATCTTGGCCAAGGAATATTGAAGAAAGTTAAAGAATTGATTGAGGAAGGTACTATATCGAGATTCGATTTTCTTTCTCATGATGAAAGTGTCGTCGTAACAGAGTTACTTGAGGGAGTATGGGGTGTTGGGACAAAATTAGCTCAAAAGCTATACAAGCGAGGTATAAGATCAATAGATGACTTGTGAAAAAATCAACATCTACTAAGTGGAATGTAAAAGATTGGTTTGAAATACTATGATGATATTAAGTAAAGAATTCCGAGAGATGAGGTAACTGCATTGCTTGAAAAAATAAGAGAAGTTAGTTCTGAGATATTTCCAAAGGAAAAAAATACACTCAAGATAGATGCTTGTGGAAGTTATAGAAGAGGAAAGCAATCCTGTGGAGATATAGATATCTTGATAACAAGAACTGATGGATCTCCAATCACTGGTATTGTAGAGAAATTAGTGATAAAACTGGAAAGTATTGGCTTTTTAAAAGAAAGATTAGGATCTCTAAGGCATTCATCAACTGGAAGTGAGGGTTATATGGGAATGTGTCAACTAACTCCTGATCATTTAAACCGAAGGATAGACATAAAAGCCTACCCTTTATCCCAGTATGGATTTGCCATTCTGTATTTTACTGGAAGTGGAAACTTCAATAGAAGCATGAGGTTATTCGCATAAAAGAAAGGCTATAGTCTAAGTGACTAAGGTTTATAACCTGTACTAAGAGTTAAAGGCTAAAAAGTAGCTGAATTTAACTCTATTCCTTGCGAGACTGAAGAAGATGTATTTAAAGCTTTAAATCTAGATTATAAGGCCCCTCATGAAAGAGATATTTGATTATGAGATTTATGATTTTCTAACTCATCTTAATTTCATGAATTATTTTTGATGGGGTTTTGGGGTTTTGGGG